GTATAATAGTTGTTCAGCCGGGTAAAATGTGGCGGTCTGAGATACAGACTATTAGTACAGATTTACCTGGGAACTTGAAGTCGTACCTTATCAAGTCAAGTAAGTCAGTAAATATCACGTTCTCAGCTCCGAAGCGACTATTGTAGTTGTCTCGGGATAGCTTTCAGCGTTCAGGCAAAGATGATTCAGTCATGTAAGAGTTCAGTCATGGTTATTCAGTCATGAAAATATTCAGGCCAGTCATGTCAAGATCGAAGATGGTCTGTCTAATAAGACAAGACTTATAAGTCATTTTCAGTATGTTCAGAGCCTCGATTCTCAAATACAGATGATTTGAGAATTCGTAGGAAAGATCAGTTTATGGTAAACTTTTCTTGAGGTTAAGTTTGACCTCAGGAAGGGTAAATAGTTGCAGGTACCACAGGTTGAAGTACAATGCATCGGAGAAGTGCCAATCAACAGCTACAGACCATGCCAAGACGATCAGCTTACGCTTCCAGTCAGGGACACATAATGCAAGAAAAGAAGGACGCCATGTCTAAATACAGTACACTGGGAGATTACGGAGAATTAGCACTATAGTACATTGAGATTACTAGCTGAGATACAAATATGATCAGCCATACAGACTACATCGACGTCGCAGGTGCAATTTTCGCCAGGTGCTGTGTGTAGGTGTGCCGCACTCACTTGATGAGGAGCAGGTATACCGCATTACGATGTGCCGCGAATGATGTGCCGCGTGTCGAGTAGACATTCATGAAAGGTAGTTACCACGATTGCTAGTTACCCTCATTTGTACATGTGTGCATCTCTGAGATTTTCCAGGAGTACCTACGACGGGGAGTACCACAATCAGCATTCAAATTGAAGACCCGGAGTCAGCCAGGAAATGAAGATCAGTACGTTCCAGAATTATATTTATTCAGTGAACACTTTATTTCAGAAAAGTGTTTTCGTTTATGTCAGTATTAAATCATCAACTCACTTAATTGTGAAT